GGGGGGGGGGGGGGGGGGGGGGTCACGATTCGAGAGGTCTGATTCCCGACCGAATTGCGATTCAATTGCATTAGACTTGAAAAGTACGGTGACTTACACATTAAATTGACACCTAAAAATCCAAAATCGGGGCACCCTGGTCCCGAAATTAACCCCCTGAAGAGTGGGGCAGTGCCCCGTGGCCCCCTCCACAATTTTTCTGTTGAGTCGCAAAATTGACGTAGATTTTTTGGAAGAAGGTGGTATCCTGAGTAATTGACACCATGGAATCCGAATTTTATGGTCACCGAGCTCCGGTGACCTCGCTTGGAAAGTTTAAGGGGGGGGGGGAAGCTGCTCTAAAAATTCAGGTTTTTCGGGGGATGGGGATTGGGGAGGTCGGATTTTTGGATTCAGAATAAGTCGTTCTTTTACTTTGGTACAAAATCAGCGAGAGTCTTTCCATGATTTTTCATTTTGATAATAAAATTCCAAAATCTTGACCGACAATCCTAATTTAGAGAAAGTAGCGCATAATGCCTGATCAAGTGATCAGTCCCGATTGCGATTGGCGTATGTGCTGCAGTGCATGTATATTATAGTAGCTTTTAATTACCAGTGAAGATTAACTTTAGGCTGCAATGTAGTGAACAAGAAAAAATAGAAAAATAGATTTGTCTGATAGAGGGGTTGATTTATCAACTTTGACATTTTGACTTCATTTTGGAATTAGGAACTACAATATCTGGCTCATTTGTAAAAACACTTACGTGCATAGAGATACTAATAATACATACATTGTTCTTCAATTGAGTCAGAAATTGTAGTTTCTAATTGCTAAATGCGGTTCATTTAATGTGGAAGTTCATGGCAGCCGTAATGTACCTATTTAGTCTTTTCTGCCTACAGTCAGATCAACGCTTCTGTTATCATTCTAAGTGCTTAGGCTGCAAAGCTTCACAGAAAATTTACTCCATCCTGTCATCAATTTTTGAGGGATGTGTATGAATCTGTAACACCTGAGACATGAAATCAACTTTTTCCAAGACATGATAGTCGTAGGATAATCAAACTTTGGCCGGCTCCTAATCACTACATACTCGATTGATTATACTGTGAATTTGACTGAGACCTTCCATAGACTTCTTTCTAAGTAAAAATTGATTTATCTCTCAGCTATGAAAACCCACTGAGGTGACTCAGGAACTGAGTAGATTGGTGAGACGCTGACATTCCAAAACATTTGAGATGGTTGGGCCACAGCATAACAGGTAAATCCCTGATGATAAATGAGTAATAAATTGATAAACGAACCAGAATGAAAGGCTTGAAGCTTCCTGCAATTGAAGAGCCCCGATTATTTTGAACAGTACTGGAAAAAACTGCGAGGATGAAAAAATAAACTAGTATGTTGTGAGAACTCACAGGTACTTTGAGGGCACACCTTGAGGCGTCCTTGCAATGATGGACATTGAACGAGGGAGCACCGAATTACACAATCTGTAGGGGGATGCGGTTAAGATGAGCACATAAAAACTACTTCGCACTAACACAAATGATCAAGAAACTCGAGCAACTTCAAGTATTCGAAGGAATTATTCACAACACAACCGAGAGGACGAAAAGAACCACGTTTGTTTACAACTTCTTCATCAAAAGAATACGAATGTAAACAAGTCGAAACTCGCACTCCCATTGGTTCCCGCCAATTCCCGTAGCGCGCGCGGCAAAATATTCAAATTGACGCGCGACTTTTCAAATTAGCGGGAGTGACACTGGTTGAGCGCACATGAGAATCTGTACCTCAGCGGGCTGTTTTCTCGGTTGTTTTAGATCAAACGAAGTCGGGGACGGC